TTTAAAGTGTTGAAAAGCCAGGATATCACTTTGAGATCTAAAGGTGCACCTCACCCAAGTCATGGTATTTTCAATGGTGCCATATGCGTGTGAAAAGCAGACATTGACTAAGGAAGACTGAAGAATCCATGCAAAGCGATGCAATTTGAATCGTGGAGCTGGAGAAGAACACGATCAAAAGAACCAGCAAATCTGTCTTGGAAGAAGTACGGCCAGAATGAGCGGCAAGAAAGAGGAGACTTTGTCTCATGTCCTTTGGACATGGTATCAGGAGAGACCAGTCCCGGGGGAAGGACAGCTTGCTTGGCAACGTGTTATGACCCTGAACAAGATGGATTGACGTAGTGGCTGCAACAATAGGCTCACATATAAGAAGCATTGTGAGGCTGGCGCAGGACCAGGTAGTGTTTTGTTCTGCTGTGAGTCAGAAGCCGCTCAGCAGCACAAACAACAATAGCTTGGCTTCTTATCCGTGGGTCAGATTGGCCTTTGGTCTCCTTCCCATAGGGGGTTGCTGTTTGCTTTCTGGACTGACCCCTGGGAAAGGCTCTCGTTCCGGGTCAGAAAGGTGTCTTAGGGCCACAGTCTTGCAGTCTGTGTCAGGCCTGTAAGTCCAGTCTGTTGTGTGAATCTGATGTTTTGTTCTATGTTGTTCTCCCATCAGCGTGATTGGTAGCGGTAGCTGGGCACCATCTCGTTCTTCTGGTCTCAGTTGAAGGCCAAGTGGGCCACTCGGATGTTTGGACTAATTGCTCCTTTGGGCTTTGGGTTTCTTCATTCTCCTCTAATCACCTTAATCATGGTCTTTGAGGTCCACCTACGTTCATTCTCATGTGCAAAATCAGGAGTTTTTGGTGGAGAATGACATGAGATCATGTAGGTCAAGCACTTGGAGCAAGGTGCTGGCAGAAACTTGTGGCTGGGCACTCAATACATGCTTAGCGCATTATGACAAGCCTAGATCTTATCCAGTCCAATTCCCTTTAAGATGATCATAGCTGCTACTGTTCTAAACACATTCCGAGCACTGAGCAAAATGCTTTGTTCGCCTTGTCTCATTTCGTCCTCTCAACCAACCCACCACCTACCGGTGCCAGCTGCCCTCGGTCAGTGAGGGTTTTCAACAGCTGGCTTCTTGGAAATCAATGGCCAGGCCTTTCTTCTGAGGGGCTGCAGGTGGATTGACCCTTACCACCTTCCGGTTAGCAGCCAAGGGCCTTAACTGCACCAGGTGGGGGAGTCCTATTGCCTCAGTCAAAGACAGGAAAACAGGCTCTGTCAGCTGCCCAAGATTCCACACAGCCAAGGTGAAGCAAACAGA